AGAACAGGAGTATCACACAAATGCGCCAACTGTAACCTTGGTGTAACTTATTTGTTTACAAATGTGACCCTGAGTAATCCTGGTGTGAACACACAATTGTTGCACATTAGGGATATGCATGTGCAACAGAAGAACTTGGTTACACTTCAGGTGCGCAGGAGGGTCACTGTGTAGAATTACGAACATATCCCCAGTGTGCACCAATTTCCCCACTCAGGTGATGAGGCATTCAACAGCAGCAGAGGACTGAAAATATTTGATTGAAAGTTTAAAAATTAGTCAATATATACTGTATATACTTACTCTAAAGGACACGTTGCTCATTGGCCTTGTGATGTAAGTCCTCACTGTGACAATGGCGTAAGATCCATTTGGAGCTTCTTTCGTGGACGCGGCGTCAATTTCAATTTTGCCCGGAGCACTTGCTGCATTCAACTGACAATAATTTAATATAGATAATATATTCACCTGTGATTATTCAATCATTGACAAAATGAAAATGCTCATTTGAATCATCTGAAAGACTGAAACGTACGTTTTGGAACCTTTTGTTTCATCTTTGGCGCTGTTTGTGACCCTGACAGGCTTCGAAATCATACGAGGATGTCTCTTTATAATTGTTTCAAGAGTGTATGAATATACTGTATTGAAAATTGGTTTGTATTATAGAATTAAAAACAGCTATCCTTTTCGAAATTTAAATATTACCCTCTTCAAAATACCATTCCATCTTATTTTTCCCAAATATTATTTGCGTGTGATCAAAAATTTGGGAATAAATCTCTATTATAGCTTATGACCTATGGTTTTTCGGACTTCTCTGATGTTTTAATTTCCCTTTATAATTGAATCCTGTGCCTGTGCTTCTTAAGTTTAATGACAATTCCTTTCAAACGTTATTCTTAAATTTAATCGTCCTGAGTGGGACAGCCGTTGTTGACGTCTTTTGCTCAAGAGTTGGTCCCGAGGAAGAAGCCTTGGTATTAGGTCAGGATGTTTTCGTGCATGCCCTACCGCGTTGCTGGTCAAGTCATTGATGAACGTCGCAAGTGCAGAAACTCGAATAACTCTTGTAGTTTCGGTGGAAGAATTCCCAAACACTGTGCCAATCCTCAGCCAAGCATCGTTGGTCTGCAAATTAAAATGTCATGCAAAATCGCGCATTGGAAGAGAGCCTTTTCTTTTGCAGTCTGACTTTTCACCGGAATCGCGACGATTCAATATGAACCAGTACCGCAATCGCAATTTAAAATGTAATTAAAAAATATATATATACCGGCATATAAAAGAGAAAAATGTGTATCTTACATAAGGAGGAAAGTCTGCACTAGTGGAAATCTCCGGCAATGGCGAAAAATTGGCCTTTGGGCGCTAAGGCTGGGGTCTTGGGTGTCTTTGTTAGGCTCGCAGCGTCTACCTCTTCACGCAGCAGCCTTATCGAAAGCAACTACAAGAGGGTATTTGAAGGTGGAGCAGCCTTTTTTTTTTTAATTACTCGATTTGCACATTTGAAAAAGCTTTCATTTCGTTATTTTTTTCACTTTTCATTGCTCACTGCTATGCTCCTAGAAGCGATGGAAAACGGAAGAGTCACGGATGCGTCAAGCGTGAAACTCGCTCCGAGTTCTGCAGTTGCAGTTGTCGCAGGATTGTGAGTCCCCGAGAGTTTGTAATCGGAGACCAATTGCGAGGTGTTCGTAGCTGCAGAAACTTGCTGAAATTGATCATCTTGAAAATTAAAATCAACAAATATGTATCATCAGCGAATATATTGATTCACCCGTTTGAATCTCGAGAACGAAAAGGACGGGATGCTGGCGCCCTCTTGTCCAAACTCGAAAAAGTCGTCTCCAAAACTCTGGAGGGACATTGAAAAGTTTTCTTCCCAACAAAGGACATTGTTACCTGACGGAAAACCAGGTCAAATGAATTATTCCAAATACATAAACATTTTTTTATGATTTTAGCTTCGTCCTCACATAAAAGTGCGCAAGAGATAAGCCAGAGGTGATGATGGAAAACGCCGACTTTCCTTGATAGTTGCATTTGTTTGTAGACAATTTCCTTGCCTGCTAAAAGATGATCGATCGCAAAATGTTGGTGTTTCAAGATTTTGAATAAAGTTTTACGAGATGGTGAGCTCAATATATAAAGATTATTTCAGATTTTAAAATTGTGTGTTGCTGCTGTTTATCCCTTGTTTATTCAAAGATGATCCCAGCAGAGAAGTTGAAGATATCTTTCTCTCGCTTTCTTCGATTAAAATTCACGCACACTCAAACAGGTACTATGAAGTAATTTTTCAATTGACTACAATATCTCAGATCTGATCTAGGTTCCTATTTAATACGACACATGCTCATGTCATGTCATGAAGCAGCAAGACTCGACTTGCGAAGCAACTTGCTAAAAAGTGTCTTTAATTTTCGTCATTAAAAATTTAACAACCACGTTAAAGTTCGATTTTACCAAAAGAAAAAATAACAAAGGCTATATGGTACACTTACACACGCAGCAGTTGAAAGAGAATGACGTTGAACATATTATATCTTCAACTATATACTAAAAAAGGTCTCAACCAGCATTTATTTCTATTGCAGTTTTACTCATTATTAATTATGACACATGTAATGAGCCGTCAAATATAGAAAAAAGATTCTATACTTTTAAACCTTTTCTGAAAATCAGTTTCCTAATAGCTAAATGTATGTACACACTACACAGTGGTGTATATTTTAATACTTACTCAAGTACCAGGCTTTTGGATGAATAAAACGCACCTCAGTTTTTTTTGCTGAAAATGTGAAAAAAAAATTTCCCAGGATTAGATTGCACGCCCCTGTTTTTTGGAGTTTCCAAAATTATGATAGTAAAAAATTTTAAATTTTGCTCAATTTACAGGTGAATTCAGCCCTTGTTTTATATTTCTTCCTGAAATGTTATGGACGAGGCTGCTAATTCAAGTATGACAAGCACAATTGCACAAACATTTTTACAGCACATTTTCATCTGGAAGAAATTCTACCCGAACATGAGTGCGCTAAAAAAAATAGGTAGAAAAGGTGCTGCATGCATGTAGTACTTCGGTAATTACGATTATATTTATAGATCGGATAACACATGAAACAAAAATTATTTGACTGCACATATTTTTTAACTCGGGTTCAGATTCAGTATTGCATATAATTCATTCTCAGGAAATATTCCTGTCTGAAAATTCAACTGAATTTGTTTTGGCCGCCGTGATTGTAAACATGATGAGAAAATACTGTACTGTATTTCACTTCTAGCTGCAGGAAAAGGAAATTTCGCACGCCTTAAATTCAAACCTCCACTGAAATCTATACAGAAGATTAAATTCGACCCGGTGCCCCAATCAACCAGCAATCAAACAAGCCGGTTTTCACTTGCTAAATTTCCCGAACATGTTCAAGAGAAACGTTTTCTGCCGTATTTGCGCGAACAATGGGTTGGAACTGAATCCGCGGGGCATCAGCAGGGTTTTTTTGTTCGTCAAATCAAAAGAATTGCAATCCCTAGCAACTCGGGGGAGTCAACAGGAAGTAAATCAATGGAAGTCATGGCTACATATGCAGAAGGAATATAAAATTGTGTCGATTTGACGATAACATCAGTGCCCATCACTTACAGGAAAGTCAAGCAATATCCCATGAATCACCTGCACAATTTCTCACGTTCTCGGGGTCTCAACGATGCACATTCAAAGGCTGCAGGTCAATTGATACTGCGATGGTCATTTGCTCATTTCAGCATGTAGGCCATCAATCAAGATTTCTTTCATATACATTTTTCTGCCTTCATGAAGTCCCTTCTGAGTAAATAAATTGGGAGGATTCACTGGTGATGGGTATAATGCTCAATGGCAGTTTTTTTTTTATTTGACCATTACTCCTTAATTTAATTTTATATCTGCGCAAGGAATAATTTACTGTAGTTGTCATGGAAATGCTTCAGGACTTCAGGTATTTTAAGAACCATCTTTAAATCTTTTTTGGATATTTGTCAAAGAGTTGTTTCCAAAAAAAGTTCATTAACTCTATCTGAATACTGTTCAATACAGGTGTTCATATCAGTATCAGGGACATAAGATCTGATGTGGACCAATTAAGTCAGTGCTGCATGTACAACTGAATGCCAGTAGTACAGTAAAATGTACTGTACTTTACTATTAGCATTCAGATGTACAGCAGATTCTTGTCACAAAATACCTTGTAAAAAAAAAAATTATTGCTTGCAAAAAAATTGCTTTGCAAGTGCATTCACATCAAATAAGATACTGCGATACAGTAATATATTTGATCAATATCATATTTGTTACAATGACGCGTTCTTCTATGTCCCAATAGCATAGTAGTGACAAGATTTTACTGCATTATATACAGTAGTTCCTTTAGATTCCAAAATGGTTTAATTTTCAAGTGATGTTAAAAAAGGTAAACCAAATCTTCCATATGCTACAGAAGCAGTGCATTTGTGAATACAGTCAAATTTCAATGAGGGACCAAGAAAAAAATGTGACTCAGGGGGGTTTTGAGTTAAGGAAACGAACACTTTTTTTGCAAGGAAATGTAGAATTGCAAAAAATTTTGAACAAGTATAATTTGGGCATTTACTTGCTTCTTAATGAGTTCACAGCATTCTGAACTTAGAGGTAGGTGTTCCTTTGCTCAATCAGTCTTTCTCTTCCTTTCAAGACACATCAATTGTTTTATTGCTTTCGTCTTTTATACTTTATTTAAATAAACATTATGACCAAAAGGTCTCAGAAAATTTGACTAACAGAGGAGAAAAATACTTCAAGTTAAAGAGGTTTTTAATGCATTGTCCTCAACAGAATTCAGACAGAAGCTTACAAAGAAATTCAACTCAGGAAGGTAATGGACTTGGGAAAGTTTGACTTGTCCAGGTTCAACTATAAAGAGACACCTTCAATACAGCCTTCCGAGGAAATTGACAAACAAATAAAACAGGGCATGACATAAGCGCACCAACTAAACCTCTATTTCCTTGCCCTTCCACATTAAACATATTCCCTTCCCGAAAATTACGCAGCCAAAAAGCTTCATCAGTCACACGCGAATTAGTGTTGCGTTCACCAGCCTCACAGCTATCGTTCGTATCTCCTCCTAGGATCAACTGAAAGCAATCAATTTCTCGTATAAACTACGATATTACTAAACTATGGCGCAATTCCGGATCACAAAAAAACAAGAAGAACTCGGGCAATCTGCGAGAACAGGCGACACATACGCAACAAGCCGACGATACTCGGCATGATAAAGCGACGATTTCACACATCCCGGGATAAAAAAAATTGTTCTAGGGAACCGCACACAGGGATCTTTGCTTGCAAGTACCACATAAAGCAACACGGGGCGAAAGTGAAACAAAATAAATGCATACCGACAGTATCAACCTCAGGAGAGATCGTTGAGAAAATTGTCATCACTCAAGTTTCATATTTTGGATCATTTCTTTCTAGAAACTAAAGCGAAAATGTTTTTTTCCTTCCATCACTTCCACGCACTCGGGAACAATACAGAGTTCTCGTACAAGAAAACGACAATGAATAAAAAAAAAATCCATAAGCTTTCTCCATGGGTAAATGCAACCTTTCAAGTGTTTTTCCTTTTTGGGATTTCACGCAAACACAACATATTAAAAAGGAAAGCAAGGGAGAAGTTAAATTCAAAATCGAGAGGACGCAGTACGATGACAGGAAGTCCTTGCATGCAAATCTTCAAGTTGAAGTCGACTTTTCATGAAAACGGTTTTTTTTCTAGTTCCTCCAGCAATACTTGAAAACTGTCTTTTTCAGTCGGTCTGTTCTGAATTTGCGTATAAAAACTTTGATTCTGAAACGCTTCATTAATGCTTCCCAAAATAGGAAATGAAGCGCATCACAACGAATGGCACAAATTACGAGATTCCAAAATGAAAACGATGCAAGTTGCATGAGTTGGTTCGACAGTTTTGTCAATCTATTCCTTCATCACAGATCTATCATACTTTCAAGGTTTCCTCCTGACTCTTTTTCGATTATCTTTTTCAGAATTTTGCGCATACAATTTAATGGAGAGGAGAGCAAAAAGTTCCATTGCCTTCAAATCCTGCAAGAAATCTAAAACCTTCTTCGGACGGAAGCCTGGATAAAACCGTGGTGATTTTTGAGTCAGTGATGGCGAATTTTAGAGTTGGGTTGATATTAGAAAAAGTTACCAACGGGCCGTAAAACTCAGGGAAACAATCGAAAAGGATCACCATTGAATCAAGAAAAGGCTTGCCATTTCACGGTGCAATCAAAGATTTGTGATCCAGCGCACAAGAAGAATTTAAGCAAAAAACCGTTTCCTACACAGTGCGGATTGCGAGATTTCTAAAATTGGGTTGAAAACTGGCGAGGCAGTAAAATTGATTTATTAAGCAAAGCCCTTCTCGAAAACACCTCGTGAAATATTTCAAGATGATGTAGCAACAAAACTTAGGATCCAACCCTCGCACAAACGCGGCTTCAAAAATGTTTCAAAAGAAAGCTCTCCAGATTAGTTGCTTTCAACCACCATCCTACAATTTTGCAGAATCTCTTCTCCGCGCAGTTTAGAAAATGCTTCGAAGATCGACATTTGCATTTCAAATGCTTGAAAAAATGCAGAGCAAAAAAACCAACAAAACAAAATGCAGACAAAAGAAGACCGTTGCTTTCGCAGATGAGATGAGAGACTAGCTTTTAGATCCTGAGAGGAGCGAGTTGCGGATCATAAAACGCGTAAATCTCAGACAATTCTCCGAGCAACGTTTCGTAACGGTAAGCAATGCGGATGTCCGGGACATTCGTGCGGGAAATATCGTTCCCGGCGACACCTTCCCGGACGTAATTCGGACCCAGCCAATGTTGCTTGACCCGATGCGAAAAGCCAGACATGAGGACCGAGTTCCGGGCCAACTCGCACATGTCGCACGAGCTCAGCTTCCACACCTGGGCTGCAATCGAGTACTCTTCCATTAGAGGCTCTTTGGTGAAGTGGAACATGAGCGGGTCGTCGGTGGACAGGGACACGGGGATCCCTCGGGCCAGGTATTCGGGCAACGGGTTGCGATTGTAGTTGAGGAAAAGAGAGTTGTTCGACAGGGGCGACATGGCGACTGGGATTTGGCACAGGTAAAACAGATACTGCAGCACAGGCACCTTGAACGAAACGACAGAACAGATCACAGGTGACATGACAAACTCGAGTTCATCGCGCAGAAAATTTTCACGAGAAGGTGGAAGGGGCGAGAGGAGGTTTTAGTGTAAAAATGTACCCAATTTGCCTAAATTCAACGAGCCCTTTTTTTCTAAAAATATTTGAGAAAAAATTAGGTGCTCGTCATAGTTGGGTACAAATTTCCAAGCGAAATTTTTGAAAATGGGAATTCCCCCCACCCTCCATTTTAATTTTTATCGGACTTCAATACTGTATTATTATTTGTAGGAAACACAATTACCAGAAATTGACTTCGACTTTCACGTGGACATTAATTTAAATTTTTACCCGACAAAGCTTCTAAGATAGGACTTTTGCTAACTGAAAACTAATGCGCGCGTCTCAAATAGGTATGACATTTTTCCAAATTCTTTGCTAAAGATCCAAGATGCGTCTAAAACCATAAAAGCATTGAAACATGCCTCACGAAGTGACATGTACGTACGAAATCACACTTCTGATCTTCAAGCAACGCAGATACAGGTTTCGAATTATTTCATTGAGGATTACTTGATCAGCCATTCAGACAGGTAAATGCCATTTCGTCAAACCAGTAGAAATCGAATTATCCTGGTTTCAATTGGCAGCATGCAGATTTTTTAATTATCGCAAGGAAGCAATGCGTCTTCAAGGATTTGCTGCTTCGGATAACAATCATATTTTAAAAATTAGAAGTAGTGCGAATTCCATGCACGGTAATTTTCGAACCATGGCAGATTGCCGTAATGAAAAGCACCAGTTGGACCTTGATAACTCAAACCTCCGCAAGTCCAAAAACTCGCTATTTGAATGTTTTTTTCAAGTCCCTGCCTGAATTCCGTAACAAGCAACACACTGGAGGGTTTATTGGATTGATGCTTGCAAAGGGCGTGAACCAAAATCTCGGTGCATCTTAGAATTCTTGACAGTGTTTCGATTTTCAACTTATCGGACTTCTACTGTGCCTCAACAATTTGAGGTTCCAACAATTGACGAAATAAACCCACCTTCCTCAGGAGGAGACCATGAGAAATGTTCTCCGCCAGCAAATACGACGCCACCAAATGCTGTATCGGTCCTGCTTCCCCGGAATGCGGCCGGAACACAATAGTGTTCAAGCCTCGCATTCTCCGGAAATGATTCAACACAGTCATGTTAGCATAAACGTAATACGAGTAATACGCATACGGAGGATTCTCCTTGTTGTTCCAGTTCTGCGGGATCGGCATTGTTCGGGTCGGAGTCGGACGATGTTCGGGTTTACTCTCGTCATCCACTGAATCGAACCCGGTCACGTGTTGGAGAAACGCGTGGAGTTCCGGATGAGAAGTCGGGTCGGAAGTGGCTTCAAACAACGGAGCGAAAATGTTGTCCAAGACGTCTTGGAAATTATTTAAAATGTTGGCGCTTCTATAAACGTCACTGCAAAACAAGGAAGATTGAGGTTAACGAGGTCTAACAGAGGTTCAAACGTTTTCTCAAGGTAACAGTAAATTTTGCTTGAAAACTCGATACTTCCTTCTAGGATAACGTACGAAAAATGGTCCAACCGTTCCAAAGCCTTATGCAAAAAAATCCGAGGATTTTGTAAAATCATGAGATAGCTTTAAATCACAAATCCACTTTCTCGGCATAATTTCTGTTATCCTTCCAGTGTGAAAAATTTTTCACACGATAAACCCAAATTGCAAAAAATTGCTTAAAATGAAAGGTTTCAGCATCATTTTTTGAGCACAGAAATCATTCGCAAAACTGAGGATAAGGCGTCTTCTCTGCTGAAATCCTAGCCGAATTTCAGCTTTCACATCGGTAACTGTTCACTCATCAGGCAAAATTGAATTCACAAGGAGAATACTGAAACTTGAAAACATCATTGATCTTAGATATTCAATAATGCAAAAAATTCAAAAAATTACATCCCTCGAAAAGTTAGACTGAATCACAGACCATCCCACAAATAAAACCTAACAAATCTTGAACGAACTAATAACCTGACCCAAGACAAACCATCCCATAAATCAAAGAAAACTTCAACCCAACTAAGAAAAAATAAAACCTACCGAATCCAAGACGCCTATTCAACGAGAAGTAAAATGAAATTACAGTATGGAATTTCAGGCGTTAATGTAGAAATATTCTTTTCAACTGAGTCTTGGACATCAGTCAAGAGAGCAAAACAAAACTATGAAAAACAATGAAAGTTGACAAGCGTGGAACTTGCCGAAGCTTCTACTGTATCATAAAAAACTTGAAACCACTCACTATAACCGGGGCAGTTGGACGAGCCAAACCACATTCTCAGAGTAAATATTATGCCCCAGGGCCCATTTTGCCAAACTGTCCCATTCGCCGCGAGATTTCCCGTAGATGGACAGTCGCAACTCGGCGTTCTGGTACTTGCTGTCCTCCAAGTCATTGATAACTTCCTTGATGATGTGAGCAAAATATTTCCCACCGACGTAGTTGTCAGTTTTCAGGAACACTTCCCTCAGTTTGCTTTCACCGATCGGATTATATTTTGCGTTGAACTTGTCAAAGCGGTGAAACATGTTCCGGTCCTGTCAAAGCATCACCAGATATTTTTTAATTAAAGTACTGTATATTGAAGAAATATTATCCATCAGCCAAAAAATGGCTACCATCTAAATACTGTAAATTGCCTCAAATGATCAGACTCGACAGAAATCGGAGAGCTATTTGAAAGATCCCATCCTCGGAAAATCAGGCAACATTTCAGAGTTTCACCGGAAATTTGCGAAAATATCTTGCAGTAATATGAATTATTTTTCCTCAAAATGCATTCAAGCCCTTTCAAAGTATATTCGTTTCCTGGGTAAACTGGGGAACTTCAGCCCTGATTTTCTTGTCTCAAAATCACAAAACCCATGAGTATAGATAATCACAATCCAAGTTTATTTTGTGAAAAATTCCTAGAATTTCTCTACTAAAAATAAATACGTGTTTTCCACGTTCTCAACTGACGGTTCATTTCAGATGACACAAAATTCGAATAAAACTAGTCGCAATATTTTCTAAAAATTGGAAGAATAAAGAACTGAAAATTATTTTAAGGCTAATTATGCGAATACATCCGGGAATTGGACAAAATTTCACGATAGTTTATTTAATAAAGTTAGGTTTCTCAGTAAGAATCGAGTCTGAATATCAAACGTTGAACGACAATCTGTTTGCCTTCAAATATCAATTAAATTTTCCCGCGAACTCTTGAATAACGAATTAGACAAAAAAAATCATCAACATAGACTTCAATGTCATTTTGTTGGCAGGAATAATCAAAATTGTGAACCCCTACGAAAATCAGCACTAGAGCTAACATTTTCTTCTCGGTGATTTGAATGGGATGCTCATATTCCTCAACAAAAAAATGGGAGAAGATCCAAATGAATCGATTCAATTTATAATCAGATTAACTCACAGCATGAACGTCGAGCATATCCACCGACAAATCGTACGCAGTCACCCCCAAGGACTCGAAAACGTTCTGCAAACTCATCGGTGTTCCATCAGCAGCTTTAGTCACAGCCTCGTTGGAACAAGTCCGCATCGCCTTCTTTATGAAGCGCAGCA